CTTTTGGTGGGAAGGTAACAGCTTTCCATGCACCTTTGGCGTTTAGTCATCCCGCCCACATGACCCCGGAGATGTCTTCGGACAGCGCTGGCTCTTCGGCTTTGAAACGGAGATGAGCACTGCCCCGTAGAGTCAGGAATGACTAGCACATTTGTGCGAGGGGAACCTTTACCTTTACCTTTATAGGAAGATATGTTGGAATATTCTTACATGAAAGTCAATGCTATGTTCAAGCAGAAGACTCAAAGCCCTATCTAATTTATAATTTAATTTATATCTAATTTATGTGGAAGCGTTACCACTTTATCCTAGGCTAGGCTATTCATCCATCTACTCAAGAAATGGAAATCAAGAGCAATTCTCTTATGTATCACATCACCTCCACCCTTTTCTCTTATAGTTGAATATGCCAGGGATTAAATTTACAACTTTCGTGCAAAACATGTGCTGTTTTTGAGCTATGAGTGCTTCTAAACACATCTTTATTTTCAGAAGAGCTATTTTAATCTCTGATCTGATGGAGTTATACTGGGCTATTAGAATGTAAACATTATTTTCCCAATAAAGCAACATTTTAATTATGAAGAGTAAAACCAGATTGCCTTCTTTGTATTTAGCCATGTAAATAACATTGGAACAAAACACAGAGAGAATGAATTCTAAGTGTTATTATTCCTTTGGAATAGAATAGATTCAGAGCTAGAAGAGTAGATTCACATCAGTGTCCAATACTTTGTTTAGTGAATACAAATTAAAACATATGGGACAGTGAGTTACCTAGTCTCTGTTTGAACCCCTCTAGTGAATGCTCACTGAAAAGATTAAATTGGAATCAGCCTTGCTGAGACTTAAACCTATTATTCCATGCTCTATAGAATGATGGGAAAAAGGCTTGACCTTCTATGTAATGGCCTTTCAAGGTTTTGAAGACTGCTCTTCTCATGTGCAGGAGAAGGGATGGCAGAACCTGGGGCAGAGTGAAAAGGGTGATCAGCCTGGAATCTCTACGTAGCCACAAGAGAACTAAATTTAACCCACTTGAGTGCTGTTGATGCTAATCTAATCTACATTTGAGGGTCTTGTCTTTCGCGCAAGAGAGCTTGCTCAATTCTTTCAACTTCCATCTTAATTTCTAGTTCCCTGATTAGGCTCTTGTTCTTCTCTGAACCTATTTCAAATTCTCAGAAAGTGTGGTGCCTGGAACTGCATACAGTACTCCAAGTACATTCTTTCATTTCTACATATATGAAAGCCATAATCAAAACCAACCAAATGGGAAGAGTTATGAATATGTCTTAAATTCAGAATGGATTTATGCTAGCATATAACTCAAATTTTTCATCTCCCAAAAATTTCTATCACCAAGTTAGTCAGCCAATTGCCTAGAAATTTGAATAAAACTTCATCAGCTGTGTTAGGTAACCTAAAATGAAAGATTCATGTGGGAAGTGATACCAGACCTGGGGCATTCAGTGGACTGCTGCCATACAAAATGAATTATTTCCTTTTTGTCCTAGATTGTTTTTATTCTTGCAAAAAGCTTATTTGAAATTTGAACATGGCCCCAGCTGCGATGCATTCAATTTTCCCTTGCCCTTGTTAATTGGAACAATGATAAGTGCCAATTGGGTAAAATATAACTTAGCTGAAAGTATATGGCATTCTTCCAGTACAAAGGAAAGAATAACATAGAATTAATTAACAAAATTCAATCAAGAGTTATTGTATGAGGGCAACCGTGTTTGTATCTTTTAAGCAGCAATGGGTGAGGAGTGTTCACTTATCCCAGTAGGCTAAGCTGCATTTTAATTTCTAAGCAGCTAATTAAAAATCCATATGTATAGTTGAGTAATTTAAGCTATTTGATCTATATAACTCACTAAGTTTTACTTTTACTTCTAACTCTCTAAATTGTACCTCTAGCTGATAGAAAATATATACATGCCTATCATTGACTGCAGGCATGGTAGATATAAGACCCAAAACGGTATGTGTAGCATCAGATCACCTATATAGCATTATGAAAGGTTTTCCTTTTACAAAATAGCCACACTTTTGGTAGAAGTACAAACTGGAAACAGACATACTTTATGTGTTGAAAATCATGAACATCAACACCTGTCACTATCCCACCCCCTCCTGTATAACTGTCATCCTTATAGGCCCTGGTGAGAAATGAGGGAAATTGTTTTCCTTGACTGCAAGCTGGCTGATGCAGATATAATTGGGTTGGGGATTGTCTTCTTCTTCGACAATCCCACTGTAATAATAGCAACTGGAAATAATATATGTGGCCCGTTCAGAATTTTAGTTGCCTGTTAGTACTCTCTATTGTAAAAATATTAGCTTGTTGTGAGGTGAAACAATACAAAACTTTTTTGGGTCGAATCTCTGTGTTTTACTCCCCCCACCTTCCAAAAATTCTATTAAATTTTGAAAACATAAATACAAAGTAAGCAAAAAAGGAAAATTGAAAAAAAGTAAAGCATCAAACAAGAAGCAAAAGTGGAAAAACTAAAAGAAAAAGAAAACAGGAAAAAGTAAAGAAAAAAATGGCTTCTGACTTTCTTTGCTACAGACATAGATAAAAAACACATCAAAACTCTTATTCTAAAATCAACAATAGTCTATATTACTTCTGTAATCCCATATAATTCAAATCATCAAATCCCAAAATCAAAATTGCTTTTTTCTTAGTTTCTTGCAAAAAGTCCGAAGGGGGCTTCGTTAGCAACTCATCATTGTCTCTTAAATTATAAGCATAATCTTCATTCCATATTTCACCTATTTTCTATAAACTCATCTCTAAATCTTCCGTTCTCCTTATTAATAAGCCAAGATCCGCTTGGTCTATTTTCTCATCCCCCTCTTAACAATTAAACATTACAAAAAAGAAACTAAATAACTAAACATAATCAAAAATAATCACCACTTAAAAGCCCTCCCCAATTACTGGGAGCAAAATGATCACATGATTGCAGCTGACTGTGGCAGCACTGAAGCAGCAGTAAGGCGATGCTGAAAGGGCCACACCCTCACAAATTTCATTCCCATGAGACTAATGGGTCCTGGCATTCTATAAGGTAGTTCATTTAAAGTACATTGGTTCAAAAATTGTTTCTCTGATGATGTACCATTTCACACAATTTAAGGTTACAAACAAATACATGAGATTTAGTAGTATATAGGTAAAACATGTTCTAGAGACTTACTGTTATCCCAATGAGGCGTTTCTTAGGACGTCTAGATATTAGCCTTCAAAAATCATTCATATCTATTCCATTCTGGTAAAATAAACATTTCAACCAAGGCAAATTTAAATTGACAAATGTGGGATAATTTTAAGCACCTCAGTGTATGACAATAATCTCAGCAGTACAGCCAGGATCAATCGGAGTCAGTTTTCTGATAGGGAATGTTGATGTTATGACGGACTGGCTGAAACAGGCATTTGTATAAGATTGGAAATGGGTACTCCATCGTCCAGTAATTAATCAGCTCATTTTTCATTTGGATAGCTGTTAATATTTATTGCACTGGAGAACCTATCATGTTGAGGATACAGTGTGCAAGTCACAGGATATATTGTCATTGTATAACTGTGCATGTGAAACTAAAGATATTGTATGATACTTTGCACACTCTGTTCAGTCTCTTTCTTGGAATTGGAATGTATGTTCATTTCTTCCAACAAGTTGGCCACAATATCATTCTCCAGATTTGCTGTCCTACCTCTGTTAGAATCTTGATGGATTCTTCTCTTGCTTGCCATATTTCAGTGAGTATTCCATCAGTTCCTGCAGCCTTCCAACTTATCAATGACCAGAGTGCTGATCTAATTTCATCTTTTAGTAGTAGAGGTTTTTGTTAAAGTAGGGAATATCTTCTAAGGTACCTTGGATACTGACCTCTCTAGTGTACAGCTTGTCAGTATACCCCATATTGAGAAAACATGAATTGTATTTCATTCCTTTCATGAAGAAGCCATTGACCCCCTAAAATTGTCTGGGGTATTTATTTCTGTAGAGCTGAAAGGTCATTGTGTGGGCATCTGCTCACAGGTTTATTGGATATCAGAGAAAAATTCCTCTGCAGATACTGTGCATATGACAGGCAGCTTGCTGGATGCTATTTATCTGAAGTTTAACTCACCCTAGGGATGGAATTATTTTTCTATTTTGTCATAAATGAATGCATCAGCATGTCTTGTAAGAGCCCCAGGATTTTTTTAAAATCATGAATTTAAGTTTTCCAGGTGTTTGTTCCCAATGTCTCTGTAATGCCAAGTGAGCCTTTTTGTTAATTAGACTATTCAAGGCACGGATGTACAACCTGTTCGGTCTCTAGAGCCCTCTTTCACAGTATAATGCCAAAAAGCAGTGACACAGTTTCATATCATTTTGAAGTGAAAAATACCACCAAATCATGACAAAATAAGGCCATCAGAGTTAAAAAAACAATAACAAAGCTCTACACCACCTGCCAAAGAAACCAGAAAAACTATGAAAATCATAATGCTATTAACCAAACTACATGATGTAGTTGTGGCCATTGGGTGTTACCGTTTCTCCAAATTTTAAGTGCAGCTTGTAGTTTTTCTCTTTTATATATATATATATGGTCTGAAAGGCAAATTATTTTTTAAAAAAAATTGTCCTAATGTATACTAGTTATTCCTTTTGTTGGACAGAAGAAGCTCCTCTATTTTTCCAGTAGATTATCCTAATGGAGGAATATGGAATATGGGGAACAAGGCTAAAGAATGAATAAAGTCAGGATTCCTACAAATATGAATTCTCATACACAATGTCCTTTTTTAATTTTATGGTTTTTAGGCCTAATTCATCTTTGTGGATCTCAGAGTAATAAATCCCACAAGCCTAAACTTTGCCCAGATGGACTATTTCAGTGGTTTTTACAGCTTGATAAACTTTGTGCTACTTATTTTAATTGTCTAAAAGGATGAGAGTTTTGCCTGAATGGACACACTACCACACAAATTTGATCAACTTGTTTTATTACAAAGATATCCCCCAGCACCTTTTGCCACTTCCATCAAACACCAGGTAAAGGGGAAAAACACTCACAAATAACTTGACAAAGTTATAATATATATATTTATATATATTACAATAAAGTTGGGCTCCCCTCAGTTTCCACCTTGCAAACAACTTATTTCTTTTCAATGACTGAAGCAAATATTTGAACAAAGAATTAAATAACAAAGCATAGGCCATCACACTTGTGTACCAAGCACACAGCTTGGAACACTCACATCTACCTCTAGTCATACCCAGGATAAGACCTTCCAGGGGGAAAGGAAGGTCAGTCATATTAGCTAAGAGCTTTCTGCTCATCCAATTCTATGTAGGAACTAGGCTGTTGTTGCCAAAATTACAGCTTCCTGCACAGACAAAACTAGCACATTTGTTACACCTGCTTCAATTTCAATCCATTTCCCTCCTCTGCAGACATGGTCATCCAGAATAGGGTCCCCCCCTCACTCCCATTCCTGAGTTTTCCTTAAGTATGTGTGTAACTGGGCAGCTCCTCATGATTAAAAATAATAATAATTTTGAAGGAAACAAACAACTTCTGTCAAGTTAAATGTAGCCCAGCTACATTCTTAAATTTCTCTTCCATAACCAGTCTCTTGGCAAATACATGTACATTTCTTCAGTGAGTGTAACTTTTTGAAGTTCTTTTTTCAGGTCTTCTATATTCCTCTTTGTTTTTGCCCTGGATAAAATCTATATTTCAATATAGCAATATATAAAATCCATCGTGACATATCAGTTCCTCAAATAATATACTAACACTAGGCATTTTGGAAAGTTATATCTGAAATAAGGTAACTGTCAAGGACAAGATTTTGATTAAAAAACTGAAATTCATCCCACAATCAACTCAGCCTCAAAACTGTGGCAACTCCTCCCTTGTTTTTGGTGAGGTAGTGTGGTATGCTTTGAGCATTATTTGGCAGTTCATGAGCTTGGCATTGTCAAGGGCGTGTTTCGGCGTCAGTGTTTGTGATGAGTTTTCATCTTCTTATACAAAACATCTATTGCCTCAAGGCAACTACCTAAGGTACCAAAGGGGAATTTTGAGAGTACTAGAACTACTGATGTTCTCTCCTTCACAACAGAGAGGACGATGTAAGGATAAAGGGAACATTTCAGGCATCAAAGTTAGCAACACATGACACTTTGCAATGATTCTGGCAATGCACAAAAAAGTTCCTTTCAGATAGAAATTGGAACGGAAATACATACCATTATTTTTGTTCTACTGAAAATTAACAGCGGCCTTACATTAAACCAACTGTTATGAACTTTGGGTTTAAGCTGAGCTGAGAGTTCAGCCCTATATATACCCTTCGAACTAACAGGGGTAGAATAAGGGAAGAAAGCACATTCCTTTGACCCTGCAGCATACGTATACTTTTCCTTCTATGGAAAATGATTCCTCCAGCAATCAGAGGGCAGTCCAAGAATTTGCTGAGTGCAAATCAACCTACCGGAATATCTGGGAAGTTTGGAGAAGTGGGAACAGCTGCACTGATAGGTTGTTTTCTGACTTTTGTTTGCTACGCAACAATGATCCCTTCAGCAAGGTAACAGCCATTTTTGTGATTAGATAAAGTGCTTTCACATGCCATGTCTATTTGGGAAGGAACTGCATTGTGGAGCCTATGAAATCTCCACCTCTTTCCAATGTTGGAGGATGGTGTGGCTATGTTACACATATAGTACAAAAATAAAAGGCACAAAATACATATAATGCAGCAAACTGTGTACAATAAATGGATTCCCTGATATTTAAAGTACACAGAAGAAAGAGGGGCACTGTTGACAGAGAATTCCTGTGTGGATCTGAGAGCCTTTTGAAACCTTCATTCATTGTTCCCTGAGTTGTTGCTGCTTTTCTCTCAACAATCTTAGCATTATCTCCATATCCTTTGGTGCGCAAAGATTTTCTCCGGGAAAATGAATGAAGTAAAAGATGGCCATTTTGAAGATGAGCAGGAGGGCAAATAAGTTATGGGAGCCATGTAGTGCAGATCCTATAGTAAATTTCAAGCTGTTTAGTGGACACCTCTCCAGATAGTGTAAGATGGGGCAGATCTGCTATCAAGTTGGTTTCTTAATCATCATATACATACAGCGGGGTACTTATTGACAAACAATGACTTAGAAAGGGTGTTTCTTAAAAGACAGTGCACTGCAGAGAAGGTCACTTCTAAACACAGGAAGAAAGTTCCAGCTGATACCTATGCTTCACTGCAGCACTCGTAAATATTGTCTTCCATAAGTGCAATCACTTGCTCAAATTTGTGCTGAAGCTGAGTGCGTCTTGTGGTAGAGTTGGAATCCAACGCATTCACTATCTGAGGAAACAAGGAATTAAACAAATGTGAGATTTTTTTATTTATTCATTCAGACAGTGCAGTCTTGTGCATGTCTATTCATGACTTTTTCTCCAGGAAAGTGTGTCAAGACTAGAACTTGCTTTAGGTCCACTCAATGTATGTCATTCAAGTTCTTAAAATCATCTATCTGTTTAAACTGATTTCCACCCATCTTTTAGTAGCATTCTTCTACGTTGCTGACTGTTCTATTTCCTTGTTACTATAATGATTTATACTTGTATTTTTCAACTGGGGCAACTTCCACCTATGTGGTTTTTAATTCTCAGGATTCTCCAGCAACCATAGTCATTACAAATTTGGGAAGCAGTGGTTTATAAGAATGGAGGTTGCACCTTCTTGTTAACATTCAGTGTTTGAGAAAGAAACTTGATGCTTTTAGAAGATTCCAGGTAACCATTTCCTTGAAACCCTCCTATGCTATTCCATTGCTTATTCTTCCTTTTTTTTATTGAAGGAAAACTATTTAAGATTTGCATCTTGCAATGTCTTCACCATTGCAGATAGGGGTGGGGGGAGAGGAATTGTCCTTGGCAAAGATGAATGATCTATTGGAATAAGAGTCCTTATTCTGCAATTTGACTTGCAGTTCAGGTTTACAAATTACATCCCTCAGCGCAAGTTCTCTCTATTGCTTTTGCTTTCTTTATTGTGATTTACTTTTTCTTACATTTTACTTTAGCCTGTACTTTGCATTTTCAATTTGTTCCACCATTGTCCACTGTACTTTCAACCAACCCAGAATGAACTACTTCATGAAATTTCTTTCTCTTCTGGAATGAATTAACTTCATCCTTCTGTTTCTGACAAGATAGTTAGCTACCTAATTAGGGGATTCCACTATGTTCCTTTCTTTATAATTCTAAAGCAGAAAAATAAAAATATGGCAAGGAGGGAACAAAGGAACAACATCTGTTGGAGGGCATTGAGGCTTTCTGTTACTTATAGAGTCCAGGACAGAAAAATCAAGTTTGTGGAATTTACTAGTTTGGATAGTCTGATGTGCTTGTGAAATTGACTAGAAATCAGGCACTCTCACAGACCTATATGGGTCTTATGTTAACTATTTTTACTCAGAAACAAGTGTAGTTGCAACACTATATGGCAAGATAAATGCCAGCCCTTTGAGATAGACCAGATAGGAAACCAAATCTCTTGTCTTGTCTTATCTGTGACTTCCTTTTGTTTCCCAAGGTTATTCTCACAGCCCATTACAATAAAAGGACAATGTCAGGAGAAGAAGGATTATGATAGGAAATCATTATTGATAGTGTAGCTGCTTGTCCCTTTAATTATAAAGAATAACTGCTTTAGCTGTGAAGAATTACAAACTTTTTTGATTTATATTCTAGGACAGAAAAGGCATTCAGAATACTGCTTGGCTGAGGAATAACAGAGATGCTTTCTCTTCTAGAGATACTATCCACCAGGGAACAAGCCTTCAGTGTGGAAGCCATGTGGCTTAGCTTCATATTTTGATTTTTGATCCTTGAATATGCATGGCTATCTTTTAGCATTAGCATTAGCATTTATTTATTTATTTATTTATTTAATATTGCCGCCTATTCACCTTACAGAATATAAATCCACATTTAAAACAATAAAAACTAACAAAAAGAATCAAATAAATTAATATAGTACACTATACCAAAATCAACCCCCACCTCTCACCCCGGCGACAGAAGATCACACGAGCCATTTAATGGCCTCCATCCCGCTCTGGGTTCCTCAGGTCCACTAGCAGAACCAGGTCTTCAGCGCCTTCCAGAAGAGTGTTAGAGTGGGGGCCATTCTAATCTCTGGGGGAATGATGTTCCAGAGAGAGGGAGCCACTACAGAGAAGGCCCTTCTTCTGGGTCCCATCAGGTATATCTTCCTCCGGGATGGGACCCGCAACATTCCCTGCCTCCCCGCTCTGGTGGGTTGGGTAGATGTGACCAGCAAGAGACAGTCCCTCAGATAACCTGGTCCCAAGCCATGAAGGGCTTTAAAGGTGACAACCAGCACCTTGAATTGCACCCAGATGCAAATCGGCAACCAATGCAACTCCTGCAGGGGAGGTGATATATGTGCACACCAGAGTCTGCACAAAACATGCGGGCCACTGCATTTTGCACCAATTGGTAATGATTATTTTATATATCCTTACTTGGAAGTAAGGGCACTACCACAAAAGACTCCGACATTACCACTAGATCAACCCTACACCTTCTTCTTTCTTGGGCAGCTAAGCCTTATTAGTGTCACTTTTGTGGCAATGCAGCCCAAGTCAGAAATATTCTAGTTTCCTATTTGAGATGGTGAAAATTCCACAGTGCATAGGGGAAGGCTGTTTTTTCCAGTGGCTAGACTCCTACTTCCTTGGGTGGTGGCTGTATTATGTACGTTTGGTATTCTCCTGCAATCTAGGTCTTTCTATGTTTTTACTTTTATTTGCGCTTCAGTGTTTTAATGATGGTTATACTATTTGGATTGTCACTAAGGTTATATTTGACCCAGTGAGGACACCCAGTGTCCTGTGAGATGCGGGACTTTATAGAATTTGCTAAATAAATACATGCAATAGATCTTTGGTTTTCTTTTGACCAGAAGCAGCTTACGCTGATTGAGTGAAAGTGCTGTGGAAATGTGTTCACCTTCCCCTACCGACAATATCTATCTATTTATTAATTTTTTTAGCCATACGGTAACTCTGGGCAGCTTACAGTCATAAAAACGTATCTAAACATATACTGTACGTTTAAATTAAAACCAAACATTAGAATCTAAGGACATGTGGGGAAGGCAGTGGCGAAGTGGGATCTGTTATTACTTGGTCAACCAATATGGAGTTACCAAATGAACAACAGAAATGATGGAGCCGGAGACTGCTTTGGTACTAGTTTTTTGCAACTGATCAGCAGTAGGAAGCCTTGTGGCTTTGAAGTGGGATGCAGAAAGCATAACTGCAGACTGTATTTAAACTGTTTGTGTAACTGGGGATTAAGGCAGGTGGTAGTGTGGAGGAACTTCAGTGTTTCCTATTTGCACCAAGACAAATTCCTTGTGTGTCCACTCACACTTGGCCAATAAAAAATTCTATTCTATTCTATTCTGTTCTGTTCTGTTCTGTTCTGTTCTGTTCTGTTCTGTTCTGTTCTATTCTTATTCTTATTCTTATTCTATTCGATTGAGATGGTGAAAATTTCACAATGTGTTTAAAGGAGAATATTTGTCACTCAGGGTTGAAATGAGGGGTTCTTGGTGCTCTCTGAGCTTGGTTTTTTATTTATTTATTTATTTATTTGATTTATATGCCGCCCTTCTCTGGAGACTCAGGGCGGCTTACAATGCGTTAAGCAATAGCCTTCATACTTTTGTATATTTATACAAAGTCAGCTTATTGCCCCCACAAACTGGGTCCTCAATTTACCTACCTTAGAAAGGATGGAAGGCTGAGTCAACCTCGAGCCTGGTGAGATTCGAACTTACAGTAATTGCAGACAGCTAGTGTTAATCACAATGCTATCAGTCTGCTGACCCACCAGTTTTCTTGTAGACATTTCATTATTCAAACTAGGTGATGCCATACATTCTCTGATGATGTTACCTAGTTTGGATAATGAACCATCTTCAAGAAAATAACCAAGTCCAGAGAGCATCAAGGACCATAAGCCTGCTTTCTATGTAAACAATATAGATAGAGGACCACAAGTGTGGGAGAAGGAAAGGGACAAGTCTGTTGACATGCCTAGGTTGTGTCCTCTTTGTGAATATAAAAAAGGAAGATGCATACTGCACAACACCACTGGACTTTTTGAAGCTGGGTGGTCACTTACATTTTTTTATTTTATTTATGGTAGAAAACCAAAGATTTTAATTGTGTTTGTCCGATGACACTCTTTGTAAATGACATACTTTGGGTTTACTATGACATATGGTAGGACTATAAAATATGGGTTGATACTGATTGGAAACCTAATGTTAAACTGCAATGTGTGATTTCCCAATTTATTTCTAATAGCTTAGTAAAGCTTGGATACATTGCATTGAACCAAAGCTGCCAAATGAGGTACATTTGGCTTCTTAAGCACTGTACTGTACTTGCATGGGAGTAAGTCCTATTGGGCTTAATATCTGAGGAGGGCTGTATAGGAAAGTACTGTTAGTGTAGCACAATGAGAATTTTTCATTCTTATGGCAAAGTGATAGACTGGAACAACTCCGAAACTACAAGCTGCCCAATTGATCCTGGTACAAAAATGCATTTTTTACACAGAATGTTAAGAACAGCTGGGCTTAGATAACAGTGCTCTAAAATTATGCGTAATATTTTTCAGATTTACCTGCTGACAGGTGTTTTCAGGTAATAAAAATAACACCAAACCCATTCTGCGTTTTTCAGTTTGTGCATATTATTTTCATGGTATTTTAAAAGATTTTCTGTAAAAAGTCGGAGATGTAGCAGTTGCGTGGGGAGGGAGAGGAAAGGAATATTGGATGTGTTTATATGAAAAGAAACTAAGAAGTACAGCTGATGTGAAGGTTCTTTTTTCCCTCTGAAATGACATAATCCTTAAAACTGAAAACCCATGCAGGAGCTGTGTTTTGTGGCTTCTTTTACTCTAGAGCTAATATTTTACTATCTCAATGGATCTAATCATTAGAAGCATTAAATAATTTTGAGTTATTAGCAATTTTCAAATCTACTGATTATACAAATGGATCATGGAAGAGAACAATTTGGGCTCGGGTAACAGTGTCATTGGCTTGCTAAAGACCCAATTTTTAAAAAAAGTATGCATTTGGGACTAATAGGGGCAATAAAAAAGTAAACCAGGCCAAAGGGAGAAACTCAGTAAGTAAATATCTGAGAAATTAATTGCATGAAGAAATAGAATGAAATTGGACACTTCCTGTAAGCACCATGGTGAGCTGATGTCTTGCCTGCTTCTGCTGGCGAGCAACACAGCTTTTCGAAGAAGAATGGCTGCTGGATTCTGGATCAGAGCTGGTATTACAGATTAACAGAGTTGGAAGGGACCTTGTAGGTAATCTAGTCCAACCCCTGGACTAAACAGATCCTACACCATTTCTGACAGGTGGCAGTCCAGTCTCTTTTTGAAAGCTTCCAGTGATGAAGCTCCCACAGCTTCTGAAGGCAAGCTGTTCCATTGGTTGATTGTTCTCACTGTTGGAAAATTTCTCCTTATTTCCAGGTTGAATCTCTCCTTGTTCAGTTTCCATCCATTATTCCTTGTCTGGCCTTCAGGTGCTTTGGAAAATAGGTTGATCCCCTCCACTCTGTGGCAGCCCCTCAAATATTGGCACACTGCTATCAGTGTGCCACTGCTTCCTTGGTCCTTCTCTTCACTAGACTAGCCATGCCCAGTTCCTGCAACCATTCATCGTATGTTTTAGCCTCCAGTCCCCTAATTACTTTGGTTGCTCTTCCCTGCACTCTTTCTAGAGTCTCAACATCTTTTTTATAGTGTGGTGACCAAAACTGGATGTATAATCTTTCCAGAACAAGGAGGGATCACTGAAATCATCCATGTGACTCCGATAGCCACCCCTTGTGGAAACTGCTGTTTTTACAGTTGGCTTATGAGTGGAGTGGCTGAGAGTCTTGATTACAGCAAGAATATTCCAATCCTTTCAGACTGAGATAACTAAAGTTGTTATTGAATTGCAATGGCAAATTGATTCTGAAAGCTGCAAAAAGTTTGAAGAGGGCAAACAGATCAGGAGCTACACGTTGCTTCCTCGTGATCTGGATTCATATTTTGAATCCAAATCACTTGGGATATGGATTAATACCCCTCGTGATGTTATACATTAATAATATTAATTCAGTGCAAGTTCAGATTTTGGTACAGTAGTTAAGTATCACTGCAAAGACACATGTATTTCACAGAAGTATTTCACTATGCAAACATAGCTACACTCAACCTTTGTTGCTACAAGCTACAAAGCTGACAGATAAAACAACTTCTTCCTATCAGATGAAGGAAACGACTCACCTGACTGCGGTATCTCTTGGCGTATTTATAAATCTCTGTCATGGCAACATTGGTGTTAAACTCATTCCGATATTTCTTCATGAAGAATAAAACAAACAAAGAATGTTACTTCAATTTTCACTAAATCACAGCCACTCTTTTTGACAGGAATCAATTGATTTAGAATTGTACTTGTATTGGATGGTGCTCTATGCAGCATCAGCATATTTGAACTCTCGATTGTTTTCAAAGTCAGCTAATTAATATGTGACATACATAACTTATGAGTAATGCAGGAAAAAAAATGAAAATGCATTGTGGCTAAGGAAAATCTCTTTAGTGATTTATAGTCAAGCAAATTTTAGTTGGATTCCTGATAATACTTAATACAGCACTCTTGAACACTGTTTGACTAGAATATAAAAAACTGCTTTTAATTAGACGTGAAATCAATACAGGTAGACCTCAACTTACGACCACAATTGAGCCCAAAATTTCTGTTGCTAAGTGAGACATTTGTTAAGTGAAGTTTTGCCCTATTTTACAACTTTTCTTGACACAGTTGTTAAATAAATCACATCAGTTGTTATGTTAGTAACGGGGTTGTTAAGCGAATCTAGCTTCCCCATTGACTTTGCTTGTCAGAAAGTCGCAAAAGGCAATCATGTGACTCTGGAACATTGCAACCGTCATAAATATGAGCCAGTTGCCAATTGTCTGGATTTTGATCACGTGGCCATGGGGATGCTACAATGACTATAAGTGTGAAAAACAGTCACACTTATAATGTGAAAATGAACTGTTGTAAGTATTCTCATAATTTGTATGCGATTAAAAGTACTCATGAAAAGATTTGTAGAAATTGTTATAGGAGACAAATCTGAAACTGATACATTATAAAAGAGATTTCTTACCCTGGATTCTTCTGCTAGATGGGCGTTCATTTCCTGTTCACTAAGTGGTGGCATATCATGGATCTGTTTGTAATACTTCTGTACAATTTTTCTATATTCAGGAATCTCCTTAGCATATAATAATTTATTAGTGGGTGAATCCTAGAGGCAAAAATCCAGAGGGAAACCATTATTTTTTTTAAATGATTAATTATTATTATTTTCTTTAAAAAAGAAAGAAAGCAAAATATTTTCTGATAAAATATAAATATATGCACTGGCAAGTTCAAAAGATCTTGACTGTAGTTGTAATTGAAACGAGCAGTTATCTTTGCATTAGCTTCTCAATATATGATTCAATGCATGTTATAGCACGTGATAAATATAATTAATGAAAATAGTCTACAGACCAGTATTCCCAAAGGAATATCTAAATATAATCTAACATTATTCCAGGAGAGTGCTAAATTTCTTAGCAGAATACTATTTTTAAAAACATGTATCACTGGGTATCCCACGCTGTAACATTATACGTAATATATGCTCACTTTTATTTATATTTATATCGATGACTAATTAAAGGATTAAATTATAGCCCTCAACAAAGTGCCTCAAGGAAGCATATTAAATTCTCCAGATTCACTTCAATAACAATGCAAAACAGGTTTTTGTTGCAATTAAATCTCTGTAGCACTCAAAGGGCTATAAATCAGCATTAGGTTTCCTTGGGATCCATAAATTAGTTTAGGCTTCCTGGTGTCAGATTACCTTGAAAGCCAATATGTAAGAAGGTTGTGATAGCCAAGTACAAAAATTCAGATGGTAGGATAGGGTTAGACCCCTAATAAGAAAATAGGATTGGTCTTTCAACAAACTAGTCTCATATTAAGTTCATTGATAAAAACAACAACAACAAAAATAATGCTCACCCAGCAAAAAGAAGGCTATAGTTGTAGCAAGGAGAGATAATTCTAAGTACTAAATTGTCCAGCTCCCAGGAAGTAGGTTGTATACTCCTTATTGCTATGATTTTAGTAATGCCAGCTCATGCACTTGAGCCTGACAGTTCTGCATTAAAAAGCATCTGATCCCAATTAGAAAACAAGCATCTATATTAGATGTCTTACTAAGTATTTGCAACTCTCTCAAGGGTCAGAAAACTCTTATACACAGAAACTCATTGTAGATTGACATGAGGCAGAAAAAAAAGTAATCTACTTTTGTACAGACAGCCCAAAATTGCAAGTCCCATCTCCCAGAATTATGACTTGAGCAATTTCATGGTAATCTACTTTCTGGGTTATCATGAAATTGCTCAACTCATAATTCTGGGAAATGGGACTTGTAATTTTGGGCTGTCTGTAATGAAGTGAGTCCATTATTATCATTATTTTTTAACCTTACAAAAAAGATTGTGACACTGAAAAGAAGTAACTTTAGATGGTGACTTCTTTCTCTTAGCCCAGGGAGTAAAGTATTGTAGGAAGTAGAATAAAACATTCAGATGGTCAACAATTTGCCTGAGTTGCCTAATGATTTGATCATTATTGTTTATGACATAAATGACACATCTGGAACAATCACATTAAATAGTGATGAAACAGAATCAAATGTATATATATCAGTTAAATTTTCAATTTTGGTTCTCATTTTCCTGACATGGACATTAACTTTGCTCCCTGCTCCCCTAACATCGTTTACCACATAGATGCTACTCACAAGACAATGTAAAATATTGTTGAGTGGAAGAGCAGATGATAACATCATCCTTACTAGCCATTACGTACCTTGCCCAACTGCAGGTCAGAGATGGAACAGGCATCAATGAAGGCCTGAGCTATTACAGAAAGACAGGCATCTATGTGGTCAGTTTTGTCGATATCAAAGACAAATTGGGGGTTCTTCAGAATGTTGACCCAAAATCTCAGAGGTAGGCTACAGAACAAAATTCACAGTGATAGTTACCTTGTTCATTCTTACACCTTTCCATTACAAGGTGAAATAAATTAAATAATAGGTTAAGAGTTAGTATCTAGATTTTGATTTTGCCAGATTTTGAGTTGATGAAATTGATCTAATGGGAATAATCTTTGACCATCACATTTATTGCCTAAACATCCTTCTTCCATTTTGGATTCTAACTTTTCGATTTTTGTTAAATATAGGGATTAACCTATATCTTCTATAGAAGTTGATTCTATAGTGAAAAAAATATCTTCTTAGAGTTCAATATGGCTTCAGCACTGTAAGAAAGATTCTGTAAGAAAGATTCCGTAGAAGTAGTCCTTGACAGTTCGTTTAGTGAATGTTCAAAGTGACAATAGCACTGAAAAAAGTGATCTATATCCGTTTTTTACACTTATGACCACTGTGCGATGGTCATGTATTAAAAATTCAGACACTTGGCAAATGACTCATGTTTATGACAGTTGCAGTTTCCAAGGGTCATGTGATCACCTTTTCTGAACTTCTGAAGAGCAAAGTCAATAGGGAAGCCAGAGTCACTCAAAAACAGAGTTACTAGTTTAACAACTGCAGTGATTCACAACAACTGTGCCAAGAAAGGTCGTAAAATGAGCAAAACTCACTTTACAAATGTCTCATTTAGCAACAGATATTTTGAGCTAAATTGTGGTTGTAAGTCGAGGGCTACCTTACAGACTTGTCCCTTTAAATTGCTGTCCATTGGTAGAATAACATGAATGGATATGTCCTTGCTGAGCTTTAAGGTTAAGATCTTCTTGCTTTGAAAAGATACTGTATGTACTAAAAAAACTGTGAAAATGTATTGAATGCTGCCAATTCAATCAGGTAATCTATATGTCAAATGGATCTTTTCTCAGTTTTAATAAAAAGTCTATAGTTATTTTCTAAGTACTAGAAAAACATAAATTTATATGGACATTTCATAATATTTATCCATTTCTGAACGTTGAACAGAACAGAACAGAATAACAGATTTGGAAGGGACCTTGGAGGTCTTCTAGTCCTACTCCCTGTTTAGGCAGGAAACCTATACCATTTCAGACAAATGGTTATCCAACATCTTCTTAAAAACTTCCAGTGTTGGAGCATTTACAATTTCTGGAGGCAAGTTGTTCCACTGATTAATTGTTCTAACTGTAAGGAAATTTATCCTTAGTTCTAGGTTGCTTCTCCCTTGATTAGTTTCCAGCAATTGCTTCTTGTCTTGCCCTCAGGTGCTTTGGAGAATAGCTTGACTCCCTCTTTGTAGCAAACCCTGAGATATTGGAACACTGCTATCATGTCACCCATAGTCCTTCTTTTCATTAAACTAAACATACCCAGTTCCTGCAACCGTTCTTCATATGTTTTAGCCTCCAGTCCCCTAATCATCTTTGTTGCTCTTCTCTGCACTCTTTCTAGAGTCTCAACTTCTCTTTTACATTGTGGCGATAAAAAATGAATGCAGTATTTAAATAATGTGGAATTAATGTGGTGCGAGTTTGAAAAGCATTGAGCTGCAATTATTTCCTGCTCTCTTTACATTTTCCTCTCATTCATTTTCTACATATGCTTCCTCCTGAGAAACTACCATGGGGATCAAAGGCACTTGTTCAGAAGTAAACCTGTATAAGACAGAAATTATGGAACTTCTTTTTCAAACCTGTTGGTTTTCCAAATGTGCAATGTGTCTGGGTCAGAGATTCCCCGTTTCTCTGCTTGCTCTTCCAAGAAATCAAAGAAATATTTAATTGCCAAAGGTGGCTTGTCATCTCGGATACTCAGAATGGCTCTGAATAAGTCATCCAGGAATTTTTGCAGTGTGCCCTGAAGAATAAAAATATTCAACTTGCATTAAGAAAGGGACAACAATGATGAATAAAATATTAATAAGCTTTAACTATTTTTCAGGCTAAGTTGAAGAAATCTGAAATAACACTGATCGAGCGAAGAGGGAGGAATCTTTCGTGAGAGTTGGGTTAATTTTGTATATACTGAAGTAATTAGTTTTAGTTAGCATTTAATCCTTTTTGGCACTGAGATTCTCCTTCTCTGGTTCTGGAATCTAAGAGCACATCTGTGATTGTTCTGTGTGGTAAACAGTGGGAAAAACTATAGACCCCTGGCAATTCTGTGATCTCGCCTCCAATTATGAATCACAAAGCACTGGAATTACAGACTGGCTTCTAGCCAACATCTGTGTCCAAGTCCATTAAAAGCATTAGCACTGATACTCTATGGTTTTTCCCCCAAAGTAGATGGGATTCTTCACCATTGTTGCAGTAGATAACTAAGTTTTTCTTGAGTATAAAACACATAAGATGAAGAAATACTGTCATATTTCCCTTTCCAGTTATTTTAATGACAAAATAAGAAACTGAAATTATATGCATTTGTAAAAACACTTTGCTTTTTAAAAATATAAACGAACTGTTAGTTTTGATTTTGTTTCATAGTGGTTGTTTTACTGTAATACTATATTTATGCTATGCTATTTATATTGAATTTTTAAGATTTATTTCTGTTTTTCTAGCAAATTGATCTTTATCTTATTCTGTGTTGGAAAAATTAACGTTTACTGTTAACTGCTTTGGGTATTGATTATTATAGAAATATGACACATAAATAGACCATTGGACCAGAGGTCTAACTTAGTGGAATAAATAATGTGGTGTAGAATAAAGGATTTAGTCAGCACATAGTTGTTAATCTACATATGATATGTAGTCTAGGATCAAAAGGAGAAAGCTTAACCCTTTCACTCAATCACTTCACCTGCTTAATACAAAAAGCTGTAAGGTAAAGAAATCATAAATATTAACAAAAACACAATAGGTAGGGAAAGAATTAAATGTCTCTTTTGAATTCAGTTCTGTCTATAATTATGATTTGCAATTTTATTAGTCAACAGTAATAAACAGTAATAAACATGAAACTCTGTATAACCCTCAAAGCAGTCATGATATATAGATTCACTATGCCCAAAACTTAGTAACACATCATAAAACAATACTCAAGATGAAAACAGCAGGGTAATAATCTAATGCAATATTTAAACAATATTAGAATATAACCTAGTATCACAAGGTTATAGAATATAACCTAGTATCACAAAATAAGAAAATAATGAAATATCCTAAACTGTCTTTTTTATTTACAAACTTTATAAAATCTGGATTTTTATCAACATAGTAATCTGAGTTGACTTAATCCAACATTATAGTAATAAAAATATTAATGAACTTCTGGTGAGTTCAATGAAATATACTCTTTACTCACATTGCACTCAAGTCAGAAGAACTGAGATGCTTTCAGGTTGAAAGGATTAGCTGGTGACATCATTGTTGCCCGGGCAGTGCCCAATTGGGGGCTCCTTTCATGTCCCTAGGAGGAGCTGGAGCAAAGGACAGGAGTTCACTCCGTCCCATGGCAGCACTTGGGTCTCGAACATGGGCTTGCTGCTTATTAATCCAAAATCCTAACCATGTAAGCCCCTGTGCTCCTTACTAAATGCAATTTACCAAGAGTATGCATGAAATTAAACTACATTTACTTTTTACTAAATGCAATTTAATTTCATGCGCACTTGTCTAAAAACAAGTTCCATTAAATGTAACAAATGTTTACAGAAAAAGTATACAAAATTGCACTACAAAATTTCATTTTTTTAATCATAAGGATAGCTATTTTCTCATGTAATGTAAAACATGGGGTAATTCAGAGTTAATTTTAGTTGAACTTGATTTTGTTAGTCGGTTGGAACATTTCTAAAATGCCAAACCAAACATCTGGGATCAATAATTTCCATACCAATGATATATATCAATCTTTTCACTCAATGCACCTCTAATGTCCTACCTTTGTGGAAAGCAATCTGGTTAGGTAGATTTCAGGAAGAACTTTTTTTCTATGACTTTGTCGATATGATTTTTTATTTTCATTTAGTTCATCTGTGGGAAGGACCTGAACAATAACAATAAAGAACAAATCCACTCACCAACGGATGATGTACGATTACAAAGTTTTTTTTTAATATAACAGCTGACTACAAAGCATTAATTTTTTAAAAAAGAAGAAAGACTATTTCTTTATGCTATAAACCAGAGCAATGAGATTATGAACAATGGAACAATATTAAATATAATTTATACTATTGCCACAGCTGTATTGGTTGTTTCCTCCTCCTTTCCTTTCCCCTCTCTCTTTCAGTGAATGAAGAATTTTGCAACAGATTCACTTTACAATGAATTCGGCTGTTTAAAACATCACTTAGATACAACAATTCTTTCCCTTTTGATAACTGGCAATCATCAGGAAGATAAAATATGTTAGAAATACATGCAAGATTATGACTGAGACTAAGTTAAAAAAAAATTGAATGCGTTCCTTTTCTCTGCCAAATTTGTGTGTTCAATTATTATCCTATTACACAAACAACACAAGAACCCCAAGAGTCTAAACTGTCCCCTCCCCAATGAGTCTGATCCTAGGCCAATAAACTGACTGGATGACAAATTTATCGTTCTGCATACACTGTGCATATGGAAAGCATTTTTATATTTGCCTTTACAATAAACCATGTGCAGCTTTACTGTCCTTACATTATACATTACTAAACTGTAAGGCAGGAAAAAGCAGGGGGTGGGCCTTGTTTCACTAGGAACAGACTTGGTTATAGTTACACTGGGCCAGGCCTGCCTCCCAACCATCAAATTATTTTTTTGTAAATCTTTCCTCAGCTTTGCATAAAGTTGTTGTGATTTGGGATAGACTTCATCTATCTATTCCATGTCACTCATACATTTTTCTGGTGTGTGGGTCGTTTTTCTGGATAGCTATTTTGTACAGAGAATGCAGCTGAGGGGGAAAAAACTTCCTCTCTAAGGAAAATCTGTCTGGCCCACCTAGAATGGCAGAGTAACGTCCTGCACTGTTCTTGGAACAGAGTACTCACCAAATGAAAGTATTTTTCAGTGTCCAAATCTTTTACTGGAAAAAAAAACAACAACAGGAGAAAAACAAAGTAAGAATTTGCTTAATGTACTATTTTGCATGATTTTTTCCCCCTTTCAAGAGTAAAGGATATCTACTATGGAAGATGATCAGCATGTCAGTTTATTGAGTTCAAACACGAACCTGAGTACCATTATCCCATGAAAGATTAACCGGGTCAAAGAATTTTTACCTGGCTTTTAAAAGTATTTTTTAAAAATAGTTTGAGATCTAGATGCATGAGCCTGAAATGGGAATGTATATTGGATTCCAGTTTTGCTTTTCAATTTGTATATGTCTGTTATGGCTGCCCTTTATCACTGAATATTTATCAGTTCCTTGAAAACCATTTAAATAGATTTTTAGAAAGAATCAGGTTACATCTGATAACTAAAAGGAGTCTAATCAATTCTTCCACCTGCAGTTAGTTACATATCTGGAGTAGAAGTTTGATTAGAGAAAAACTAAATCAAGTTTTTGTTATCAAGTTTATGAGTACATATTTAATATAAATATTAAATGTTTATTGAATCTAATATTATTTATATTAGGCTTCGGCTATAGAAACACAGTAAGAAATGAATTCTGTACAGGAAAAATAATAATGTAAGAGTATACTTCCACACATGCTTCAGCAACAGGATATTTATATCTACTCATTTACAGCAAAAGTTATCCAAAATACTTGAAACACATTTATACTGTGTGTGGTCACTGCAAGCTGTGAGTGAATTGCTTATATTAGCAAGAAAAATAAACAGAAGTTTGCTGCTCATTTCATTACCTTATGCCAGATACAAACAATGAAAGACACAATGAGTTCTGGAGCCAAAGAGGCCTTTTTTTTGTTTCTCATGAGGTAGAGAGGAGATGTCTGTTGGAGGAGGAAATCCAAAAATGGGGTTTTACCCTGAGCCTCTCTACTATTCTCTGCAGTTGATTCTTTCTGACACTGTAAATCCCCAGGATCAGACAAGCTTTAAAATGATATAGTAAAGATTGAAGAAGGAAATTGTTTTGCCCTTGTGAAGGAAAATGTTGGGTAAAAATTATGGATTACACCATAAGAATACTTTCATGTCCGGCTGACAGACAGAGAGATAGACAGACAGACAAGCATGCATGCGCGCATACACACACACACCCATTCTTTTTGTTCACATGTTTTATTTTCTAGGGAAAAACAAAATAGCACTGCATAGTTGCTATGTTCCTCTTCACTGGTGACTTTTGAAATTTGCCATTGATAGGTTTGGGGGTGTTCCAGTACCAGTTTGGTCAGCTCCAGTTCCATAGTGCTATGGCGACTGCCGAAAACTTGACCTACTTACTGGTAAACCACTTATCCAGCTAAAAGCCATTCTTGCCCAGGATCTGAACTTGACTTAGATTGACGGCTGATGTGTCACAATAGAAAAGACAGCCATTGAAGAACAAGGGTCAAGAAGCATGCTGTTTAGAAAAAGGAAAGAAAATGACCTCATAACATCCAGTCTGATGACCAAAGTTATATTGTATTTATGGATGGCTCCAGGCCTGGGCCTCCTTATAGCTCTGCCAAAATACTGTTTGCTGCTCTTTGGACATCCATATACGTATTTCTTCTCTCCCTCAGATTGCTGGCTGCTATTCAAAGAAAGTCATGCACTGCAGTGAACAGGGCGCTAAGTGTCTCTGTTCTGTCTTTCTTTTGTCTAGCCATCAATCCTACTCAGTTTTGTGGATGTCACTGAAGGCGTTTAGATGAATGGTAGGATTCACCAACATAAATTACTGTATCTTATTTTTTCCCCCAACTGCCACAGACACGCCAGCTTTGCAAAATCCAGTCACTCACCACAAAGCAATGTCATGATAGGTCAATTATTTCCAAGCTACAGAAATTTTTCTTAGTTTCATGAGGGTGTTCATTTTGAACAGAAAAAGAACATCTTTAGGAATGAAGATTAGATTGCCTTTGAGCTTTATCTTGTAATGTAAAATTTAAATGTGGATTATATACCTACCTGAAGTAACAATAACTTGCAAGCCTGAAGTGATAATGCCTTAAGAGGGTTATTATTTCTCAGAGTCTGCTGGATTTATTACGCCATGAGATTTTTTAGGAAGAATCTGTACCAGCCAAATGGATACTGGAAATCTCCAAGAAAATAAAAGGCACTTCCACTGTAAAATTTGGAGCTGCCAAACCTTCCATAGGGTAAGCCCATATGGTTTCATTTCCATGCTTCTATAGCATAATAGGTATCTATGTCTCTTTCTTGGAGTTCAAATAGAAAGATTCATCCTTTACCATTACTGCCATTTCCTCAGAGAAAACATACCTGACAGTATTTATTTATAAATTCGTTTCTCTACCAGCTTTTTTTTCTAACAGAGCTCCCCTAGGCAGTACACAAAACAAAATACCAGAATCCAAACTGAAAAACAACAAAATTAAAATATAATATTAAAGCCAAGAGGAACAGAGCTATCATCTTCAATCTTAAAACAACAACCTTTAAAAGGCAGACCAAATGCTCCCCCTCCCCGCCCAAAAGCAGCCTCTCTGGCAATACAGGTGCAAACACAAAGAGCTGTAAACACATGGTTTGCTTGATTATAATCACTGATAATATTCTCAGACCATCTGCTATATCCAACTCAAACTCCCAAATTTTCCTTTCCTTTCCTTTCCTTTCCTTTCCTTTCCTTTCCTTTCCTTTCCTTTCCTTTCCCCTCGCCCTCCCTTCCCTTTTTTTTTCCTGCATTGCTTGAAGGCTTAAAACATATTTCAATTTTCCCATCCTTTTCTTTTCCTTTCTAAGAATGCTGAGGGCAAAGGTTTTTCCTTTGAGGTAGGCAAAGTCAGAAAACAGGAACCACAAGGTGTCTTGGGATATACAGTCAGGTCCATAAATATTGGGACATCGACACAATTCTAACATCTTTGGCTCTATACACCACTACAATGGAGTTGGAATGAAACAAACACAATGTGCATTAACTGCAGACTGTCAGCTTTAATTTGAGGGTTTGTACCTCCAACTCAGGTGAACGGTGTAGGACTTACAGCAGTTTGTATATGTGCCTCCCACTTGTTAAGGGACCAAAAGTAATGGGACAATTGGCTTCTCAGCTGTTCCATGGCCAGGTGTGTGATATTCCCTCATTACCCCAATTACAATGTGCAGATAAAAGGCCCAGAGTTCATTTCAAGTGTGCTATTCGCATTTGGAATCTGTTGCTGTCAACTCTCAAGATGAGATCCAAAGAGCTGTCACTATCAGTGAAGCAAGCCATCATTAGGCTGAAGAAACAAAACAAACCCATCAGAGAGATAGCAAGAACATTAGGCGTGGCCAAAACAACTGTTTGAAACATTCTCAAAAAGAAGGAATGCACCGGTGAGCTCAGCAACACCAAAAGACCTGGGAGACCATGGAAAACAAGTGTGGTGGATGACCGAAGAATTCTTTCCCTGGTGAAGAAAACACCCTTCACAACAGTTGGCCAGATCAAGAACACTCTCCAGGAGGTAGGTGTACGTGTGTCAAAGTCAACAGTCAAGAGAAGACTTCACCAGAGTGAATACAGAGGGTTCACCACAAGATGTAAACCATTGGTGAGCCTCAAAAACAGGAAGGCCAGATTAGAGTTTGCCAAACAACATCTAACAAAGCCTTCACAGTTCTGGAACAAGATCCTATGGACAGATGAGACAAAGATCAACTTGTACCAGAGTGATGGGAAGAGAAGAGTATGGAGAAGGAAAGGAACTGCTCATGATTCTAAGCATACCATCTTATCAGTGAAGCATGGTGGTGGTAGTGTCACGGCGTGGGCATGTATGGCTGCCAATGGAACTGGTTCTCTTGTATTTATTGATGATGTGACTGCTGACAAAAGCAGCAGGATGAATTCTGAAGTGTTTCGGGCAATATTATCTGCTCACATTCAGCCAAATGCTGCAGAACTCATTGGACGGCGCTTCACAGTGCAGATGGACAATGACCCAAAGCATACTGCAAAAGCAACCAAAGAGTTTTTGAAGGGACAGAAGTGGAATGTTATGCAATGGCCAAGTCAACCACCTGACCTGAATCCCATTGAGCATGCATTTCACTTGCTGAAGACAAAACTGAAGGGAAAATGCCCCAAGAACAAGCAGGAACTGAAGACAGTTGCAGTAGAGGCCTGGCAGAGCATCACCAGGGATGAAACCCAGCGTCTGGTGATGTCTATGTGTTCCAGACTTCAGGCTGTGATTGACTGCAAAGGATTTGCAACCAAGTATTAAGAAGGGAAAGTTTGATTTATGATTATTATTCTGTCCCATTACTTTTGGTCCCTTAACAAGTGGGAGGCACATATGCAAACTGCTGTAAGTCGTACACCGTTCACCTGAGTTGGATGTACATACCCTCAAATTAAAGCTGACAGCCTGCAGTTAACGCACATTGTGTTTGTTTCATTCCAACTCCATTGTGGTGGTGTATAGAGCCAAAGATGTTAGAATTGTGTCGATGTCCCAATATTTATGGACCTGACTGTACTTTAATGGAATGAAAGTCTTGTAGCGGAATTTTGAAATCCAGTCAAAGTCTCTCTCTACTTCACAGTATATCTAACCCAATCAAAGTGGGGTTGTTTGGAGTTTCTTTCTTATGGTACTTTACCAGGACTCAGATATCTTTTCTATAACAGCTGTATATTTTTTGGGGTGTTCCATTGCTATTTTTTTATTTCAAAGGCCACTAGAGGAGCAGTAGCACTGCAGAATGTCCCTGTGTTGTGGCATGAGTAGGGCCAGGATGTTCTTATTTTGCAGGAAGGAGGAATGATTATCTTAAACCAACCTTAGAGCTTACCCTGCTATTTTTGTGTGTTTTTATCAAAATGATGAGAAAGTAATCCATTGAGTTTTGGCAGCAGAGCAGGAACTCTGAGGCCACAGTAAAAGAGGTCCTGTTTGTCAGGCCTGGAAGCCATCTTTTGCCTTGGGCCTTTAGACCTGCCTCATTTATTGCTGTGGGAAACTGGGAGGGGGGATTGTATGGAGCAGGGGTGATATGTACTCATAATGACATTCCTTTCTCAGAGAGTCAAGGACATTTTGCCTGCACTTGGAGGTGTTTGATTGGGAGGCATCTCCAGTTGGGATAGTGCTTTGATAGGACCATGTGATAGACATGTGGGTGCAGGGGAAGGGATTTGGACTTTCTTTCGGGTGGGAAAAACCTGGAAGCTTTCAGATTCAGGTTTTCCCAGATGTGCCAATATGATATCTCTAATAAAATGGAACTTTGAGGAATTTCAAGCCTCGGAATCTTCTTTCATTGGGGGTGTTACTTGGAACCCTGACACCTGTATCTGACCATGGAACCTCAGATTGCCCAACTGTAGAGAGTAACAAGAGGGAAGATCCATTACCAAGACAATGAAGAGGTGAACCCTGCAGAAGCTCGGATGAGGGGAGAGGAGCAAAAAAGACAAATACACCCAAAATTCACACTAAGATAAAAAAAAGAGAGCAAGAGGAAGAGCACGTTCAAGCCTGCAAGAGTCTATTTCTATAGCTAATCTTAATAAAAGTAGTTTTGGGCACACAGAGCATATGTTTCTTGATTTTGTAGGGCTGACACCAATCCTGCTCTAGATGCACAAGGAAGAGAAGAGGAGCATGACAATAATGCTGGAGGCTTGCATTTCTCTTTTGAAAGTATGTAGCCATTCTCCATTAGAAGCCATTCTCCACTAGATAACCATGACCCGGGTGACTGAGAACTTCCATAGACACTTTACACTAGAAGGGACAGATAGCAGTGATGGGATTCTACCAGTTCTACCCGGTTCAGGCAAACCGGTAGAGGTGGAGGGAGGCTCCGCCCACCTGCCTGGATGTCATCACAGATGCTCTGCACATGCGCAGACATGGCGCGTACACTCACAGTTCCGAACCGGTAGCGAAGGTAAGTGAATACCACTACTGACAGATAGGTTGTGTGAATACTAAAGGAAATTCTGATACTACATGGGTTCCACAAACTCCATACAGGGGATATTAGATTTCAGATGGAAATGGTAAATTATGGACATGCGGAAGTATTAGAAGAAACCTTTGTTCAAATATGCTTTGGGTTTTTAATTTTTAGCACTTTGTTACATGTTTTTCTCTCTTTTTCTTACTTGTTTTGCATGTTTTCTCTTGTTACCTGCCCAGAGATGTTAGGGCTGGAGAAGGATATAAACATTGATAACAGATAAATAAATAAAGCTTTTCACATTGGAATAGATTGCAGTTGGAAAGAAGACTGGGGTTTATGTTCCCCTTTCAGATACATTTTTCTAAGCTCTATTTATAGTGCAAAACATATGTTATTGCTTAACAATGCTCCCTTGGGAGATTCAGGGAGAAATAAAGGTAACAAAAATATTGATTACTGGTGCACCATGCATATATTTTATGCAACAAACAGAAAACAGAAATAACTTTCTGCAGTGACATTAATAAATTCAGCCTAAAACTGAATAAGATATTTAATTTGGCAATGTCCAATGGGATAAAGGAGATTCAGGCCCAAAGTTATGGTACACCTATGGATCTAGGGTCAATTATTCTTTATCAGTTTATTTATTTATCTATTCAATTTATATAGCTTCCCATCACAAACCAGTGACTCTGGATGGCGAACAATCATAAAAACAATTAAAACAGTTAAAATACAATAAAAATAAATGAATACATATAGCAGCTAAAGATATTATAATTCATTGGTGTCAACATAACCAGGAAACAGAGCCCTTCAAACTCTTGGGACCACAGGCCTGGGCATATAGTCAGATTTTCAAGGCCTGCTAAAAGGTCAGCAGAGTGGGGAGGGGCATCCTAATCTCTGGAGGGAGAATGTTCCAGAGGCAGGATTTATGGCAGAGAAGGCAACCCTCGTGGTTGAGAAGACTTGGAGCATGTCCATCCTGCCAGATCAGCACTTCATGATTAAACCACCTCCTCCTCCTCCATCCTCAGAAGGAGTCAATAGGTGGATAAAAATGCCAAATGTCAACAATCATAATACTAATTTCATGATAAATTTCTACAAAAGATTGAGGGGAAATGAATAAGATAAAAGCTGACAATGGCTTACATTTAAAAAAGGAATCTGAAGGCTTGATATTGGCTGCTCAAGAGCAAGCTATTCAAACTAACGCAATCAAGGCCAGAACTGAAAAATCATCAAATGATTCAAAATGCAGATTGTACATAGAAATAGAGAAAACAGCAGATCATATGCTCAGCTTGTGCAAGAAGATCACATAAGCAATGAAATAATACAATAACCAAAATGGTTCACTGGAACATCTGTAAAAATGATTATGTTCCAGCAATGAAAAATTGGTGGGAACATATAGCTGAAAAAGTAATAAAAAAGACCAGATTAAAATATTGTGAGATTTCCAAATACAAAGAGATATAAAATCTTGGCTTATAGCACACCATATCTAATGTGGCTGAATAGGAGTATGGATAATTAATGTGCAATAGGAGTAGTAAAAAGGAAGGAAGGAGGGAAGGCAGGCAGGCAGGCAGGCAGGCAGGCAGGCAGGCAGGCATTAGGAAGCCTAGCACCATAAAACACATTTATAAACTAAAGAGGACGGGACAAGAAATACTGATGATGTTACCTAGTCTGGTAACGAAAAGTTCAGAATCTAAATTGAAACAAGCTTGGAGAGCAAACCACTGCCAAAACCATAAAACACTTCCCAATACATAAACAATCATAGAGCTCTCAATGCTCAGTGGAAGATGGTGATACCTTCAGGAAAAAGTGGCTCCATAAATAACCAGGACCCATTCTATGCAGGGCTTTAAAGGTAACAATCAGCACTTTGAATTTCAACTGGAAAGAAACTAGAAGCTAATGTAGCTCACATAGCAGAAGTGCAATGCCAGTAAATCAAAGGGCACATGAAACTGCGTGCGCTGCTGCATTCTGGATTAATTGTAAATTCTGGATGGTCTTCAAAGTCAGCCCCATGTACAGCACATTGCAATGATCTAACTGGGAAGTGACAAATATATGAGTAATTATGAGCAAGGCCTCCCGATGCAGGAATGGGCACAACTGGCACACAAACTGCAACTGTGCAAAAGTACCCTTAAGCTAAAGTAGCTAACAGTTCTTTTGTGAGTTCAGGAGATGCCCCAAAGTGTGTATCAGTTCCAGTCCAAGACCCCTTCCATGTGCTCATTCCAAGTTGCAACCAAGGCCTTGGCCATACCATGCATCAGGGCTTCAGAAAAAATGTCAAGTTCCCTCTGAAATGGCACTGGGTCTATTGGTTGCCTGGAGTGAGGCAATTGAATAAATCCTACTCCCCTGCAGTGGTTTAGCCTCAGAAAACTCTATGGCCAGAAGGACATGACAAGGGGTTTGACATGACATCCCCCATGGTATGAATCTGCAAGACAAAAACCTAATGGGGGGGACCTCCTTTGTGAGTTAGACCCTGAGTAAGTTGGACCAGATCCATGGTTGCTATGAACATCTGAGCCACTTCTGACTCCGGTCCTAGAGAAGGCTGGCTAAAGTTCACAGAACTATAAACCTGGGGAATGCCATTGCCAACTCAGCTACAATGTCAAGGAGCTTGGACAGGAACACTGCTAAACTACAGGGAGGAAGATAAACAAGAGCAGTCTCAACTAATCCCTATGGTCCAATCTCACGCTGAAAGTTTCATATCCAGCTATGTCTGAAACTACCAAATGAAAACTGCCCTCCCTCTTGGCCCCTTAAATATAGTCATATTGATTATTTAGCTATAATCAATAAAATAAAGCTAAGATGATTTATGGAGGTCTGTTTGTCCTCCAAGTTTGTATTTTCAATTCGTTTTCCTTTTCATTGGTTAGTCAGTGATAAATTACATGTAAGCCTAGTCATCAATAGAAAGCTTTTTTTAAAAAGGAGGAAAAATGTATATTATGGTCATAAATGAGCATAGAAGAGTTATCAGTGATTTTGGAGTCCAATTTTTACTGGATCCAAAGTGTAACGGAATCTGAGATTTAACTTTCCACCTCCTAACATAACATGGGGAAATTCTTTAATTGGGATCATGGCTGGAAGGAAGGGGTTGAATCTCCCTTTCCTTTGGGCTCTGACTCTCTATACCCCTTGGATCCACTATTGCTTAACCTCCCACCCATCTAATTCTGCTTCCAATTATAAAGTTATCTCACATTTATTTCTGCCTCCAGAATGCTTTGTTCAGCAAATTCGAGAAAAAGCAGTGGTATTTTCAAAAGTTGCAATACTATTTTTAAAACATGTAGGCAATGCTAATTTTTTGAGTTAGACTATCCGTGATACTCAATTATACATCTTTTGTTTGAGACTGCAAATTAAGTAGAAGACTGAGAAACTAGGGAAAGAGAAACGGTTCATACCCTTTTCTTCTCATGCCAACTTTTGTTTAAAAAAAAATTGTTTCCCTGATTTTTTTTTTTTGGTAACTTCCATTCTTCATTCAAGTAACACAAAACCAAATTGGGCTAAACCACAAATGTCTGTCACAGTAATTAATTTTTAGTTAATGAAATAGAATGTTTAATAATGATAATAATTTAAAATCCTCCCTGAAAAATCCAAGGATATTTATGAAAGAAAATGTGTGTCGACTTACCTCGACTTAAAGTGTTGTCTTTTTTATCTGTTAAACTCATGGCTAGGGAGGCACCATCAGGGATCTATGAGGCAGAGGGAGAAGCAAAATCTTATTAGGAATGAGCAAATTGGGACATTTCTGCAAAATGACTGAGAGACATTTACCAAATAAATTTAGCAAAGAGTTAGAATCTTCATTTTAGTTTATATGCATTTTTCTGCAACTTGCTGCTAACAAATGCTTATAGACTTACATGCTTACAGGATGATTAGGGAGACTAAAACATATGAAGAACGGTTACAGGAACTGAGCATGGCTAGTCTAGTGAAGAGAAGGATCAGAGGAGACATGATAGCAGTGTTCCAGTTTTTGAGAGGCTGCCACAGAGAGGAAAGGGTCAAGCTATTTTCCAAATCACCTGAAAGCCAGACGAGGAATAATGTATGGAAACCAAACAAGAAGAGATTCAACCTGGAAATAAGGAGGAACTTTCTGACAGTGAGAACAATCAATCAATGGAACAGCTTGTCTTTGGAAGTTGTGGGAGCTTCATCACTGGAGGCTTTCAAGAAAAGATTGGACTGCCATTTGTCAGAAATGGTGTAAGGTCTCCTGCTTAGGTGGAGGGTTAGACTAGATGACCTATAAGATCCCTTCCAACTCTGTTAATCTGTCAGACTCTCTCCTTTGTCTCCACTGCCCATTATCAGATCTTTAAAATAAAATTTGGCTGCAAATTCATTTTATTGGTTCTACAGTTATTTTAAAGGCTTGGCTAATTTAACTACATTACGCGGCATCATATCTTTAATATGCATGTAAGTATTAAAGAATTCCCATTTTACATTTTGATGGAAATATTAAGGTATCTGCAGAGACAACAATGTGAATTAAATGCAACCCTTAAGGATGCAAAACTGAACATGCCCTCACTTAGGAAGAAAGGTACATTGTGCAAAGAGAGACTTTGTAAATAAGCAGGCAGCGGATTATATTATATAAAGTGTTTCTCTATTTTTCTTATGTGACAAAATGCCTGTGGAAAACATTACATCAGAACAATAGAAACACTGGATTTTGCACAAAAGATCTGTGAACAGGAGATGGCAGAAATGTAATATTCTGATAGCAGGCGTTCTCTGCAAATTACGTATGAATTCTTTGTTATACCATTTTCCTTGTCCATTCTATGAGGGGAGGTTTTTTTCAAATACATATTAAACTACAGACTAGTTCGCATACATAGCCACGGTAAAAATAGGTAAACATAAACTTTTAAATTGGCCTTTAAATTGGCTTTAAATTGGCTTTTAAATCTCTTTTAGTTAAATTGGATGTTTTAATCTTTGAACCTAATCCTAAATTATTTAATATTTTTTAATATTTTTTAACTTTTGTATGTTTTTATTTATTTATGGCTGTTCACCGCCCTGAGTCCCTCGGGAGTAGGGCGGTATACAAATATGAAAAATAAATAAATAAATAAATAAATAAATAAAAGTAGGAAGGTTTAATTGAGATCAAGTACAGACATAGAATCATAGAATCAAAGTGCTAGAAGGGACCTTGGAGGTCTTCTAGTCCAATCCCCTGCTCAAGGCAGGAGATCTTATACCTGTGATGGCGAACCTATGGCATGCGTGCCAGAGGTGGCACGCAGCGCCCTCTCTGATGGCATACAAGCCGTTGCCACAGTTCAATTCCGCTGCACATATGTGTGCGCCTCCCACTGGCCAGCTGGTCTTCAGGTTTCTGCCGCGCATACGCAGGGGGTGAGATGTGTGGGGCGGCGTGCACATGCACGTGGGCAGGGCACATGCATGGGGCCATGCACACATTGCATTTTGGAGGTTCAGGCGCACACACGTCCATTCGCGTGTGTGCATGCACACTTTGGGCACTTGGTCCAGAAAAGGTTAGCCATCACTGTCTTATACCATGCCAGACTACTGGTTGCCCAATCTTTTCTTGAAAACCTCCAGCAATGGAGCACCCACAACTCTGGGAGATAAACTGTTCCACTGATTAATCATTCTCATTGTTAGGAAATTCCTCCTTAGTTCCAGGCTGAATCTCCCTCTGACAGTGCTTCTACCCATTGCTTCTTGTCAGGTACTACAGAGAATAAATCAACACTCTTTTCCATGTAACAGCCCTTTTGGAAGACTGCTATCATGCCTCCCCGAGTCTTCTCTTCATTAGGCTAAACATACCTAGTTCATTGAGGGTGGGGTAGGGGTTGGGCTACATGACCTACAAGGTCCCTTCCAACTCTGCTAATCTGTAATTGTATGATTTAGCCTCCAGATCCCTTATCATTTTTGTTGCTCTTCTCTGCACTCCTTGGGCTCAGTCTCTCTTTTATACCGTGGTGATCAGAACTGGAGGCAGTACTCTAAATGTGGCCTGATTAGTGGAACATAGAGCAGTACCATCACTTCCTGTAATGTTGACGATATCCCTCTCTTGATGCAGCCTAAGGACTGTATTGGCTTTTTTTGGCAGCTGCAGCAAACTGCTGACTCATACTTAAGTGGTGGTCCACTAGTCCTACCTAGTTACTACCGTTGAGTCAGGCGCCTCCTATTCTATATCAATGCATTTGGTTTTTCCTGCCTACATGCAGGACTTTACTTTTCCCATCACTCCACTGCATCTTCCAATGCTCAAGTTTATCAAGACCTTTCTGAACCTTGAATCTATCTTCCATTGTGTTGGTAATTCCCTCCAGCCTAGTGTCATCTTCAAATTTGATGAGTTCCTCTTCTATTCCCTAATCTAGATCACTTGTGAAGATGACGAAGAACGCCAGGCCCAAGACAGAACCCTGAGGTACCTCCCTCCACATAGATGTAGCTCCATTGAGGACTACATGCTGACTGCAGTTGGTCAGCCAATGGCGAATCCATCTGGTGGTGGTAATGTCTATCCCACATTTTTCTATCATACCAAGAAATAGGCTGTGGTACCGTAAACGTAATGAGAGCCAGTTTGGTGTAGTGATTAAGGCATGAGGCTAGAAAATGGGAGACTTGAAGCCTTAGGCATAAAGCCAGCTGGGTGACCTTGGGCCACTCACTTTATTTCAGTTCTAGGAAGCAGGCAATGGCAAACCAGTTCTGAAAAACCTTCCCAAATAAACTGCAGGGAATTGTCCAGGCAGTCTCAAAGAATTGGGCACAACAGAACGGAAGGGAATAAAAAAAAAAACAGAAGTAGTACACGCTCAGTCCCATGGCTATTTGTATGAAATTAGTATATGCGTGTGAAAATGCTTTGAAGAAAGGCCTAAATTATATGACTGTCACTTCAAATGAAATTGAAATTATTTTTCACAAAGGAAATTAAAAAAAAAAAGTGGGCTTCTTTTGTGGGCAACCCCCTGCTCCCCTAAGAGATCAATGCGAACTCTGACACTACTGTTAAGAAGAGGAAAGGCATGATTTTAATTAGGATGGATGGATGGCAGCTACTGGGAAAATGAAGCTTTTTCTTCCACGGCAATATCTTGTTTTGCATGAAAAGTGTTTAATTAGTCTTGATGTGTTGCAATATTAACGAATTTCTCGCCAGGGCAGATGTCTATTCCCCAGAAGGTCTTGTGGAGTTATGGCAACCTTCCTGCTTTGCTTCTGTTAATCCTGTTTAGGAAGCAGATCGTGGGGTCTCTGCGGAAAGCTAGGTTTAAAGGGAGAGAAATTCTTGGAGCAATGACACTTCTTACCTTATAATGTCCTAAGGTGTTCAGTTTTTTCCTGCCATCTTCCATCACGGAAGTGTCATCAAGGTCCCGGAGGATGTAACTGTCAGTGCTTGTGGCAAACCATTCTAAAAAAAGAAAATGGAACGGGTAAGAAAGTTGCCTGGAATACAGCAAGTGTTAGTTAGCAAGAATATAAATCGCTTTTCTTATTTTGATGCCACATTTTGTGATTTGGGAAACGAATATTCCAGTAGCGAGCTCTGGGGATTTAAAGAGCATTTTTATTCCATTAAACTCACATGTGAGTTACCATGGTAGGAAATCTTTTAAGAGCATTGCAAGTAGATAATTTGTAATCCCTGTACTCTACTTGGATGTTATGACCCTCTTTGTCCCATCTATACCAATAAAAATACTATCATACTTAGAGAATATGCAAAGGAAAGAAGTCTGCAGGAAGATTTTCCAGCACTCTGATTTCCGACTACCTGGATTTAAATAAATGGACAGCAATTGCTTTTGCTCAAGTATTGTCTAACCCTGAATGCATTTATATAGAAATTCAGTTAATTTCAAACATGAACTCTGAAGCACAACTTACAAAAGGGAATGTAAATAAAGTTAAAAATCTGTTAATTAATTGTAAAGCTAGCATTTTTTTTTCCTGATTTCAACCAAGGCATTTTTTCTTCATAACTTTTTTTAAAAAAAAAATTGGAGGAGGGAAACTGCTGAGCTTCCTGTGAACATCACCATTTTCTCTACATTCCCCCAGCATTCATATTGGGAAATAAAGCTTGCTACCTTTGCTTCTGACAAGATCTCCTTTTTACTTTTTGGCAATTATTAGCAACAGTACTTTATGTTCCAGTTGCTATTTTGCTGAACGTGACCAAGAGGCACAACTGGGGGCATTGCTGAGATTTAGCCCTCAGTGTTTTATTTGATGGCTTGGTCATTCAATAATAATTTATTTGTTTACCCAATTTATATTGCCTCCTACTCGCACATGGTGACTCAAGGTGGCTTACAAGGACATAAAAACACCATATAAAAGAAATAAAAAGAAAAATAATAAAATAATAACACACCACCACCAACCCAGTGACAACGCACATTCACACTAGCCATTTAATGGGCTCCATCCTGCTCTGGCTTCCCCAGGCTTGCTGGTAGAACCACATCTTCAGGGCCTTTCGAAAGAGTGTCAGAGTGAGGGTGAGTCTAATCTCTGGCGGGGATGACGTTCCACAGAGAGGGAGCCATCACGGGCTTCTTCTGGGTCCCGCCAGATGTCTCTCCTTAGTGCCATCTCTATTTATTAAATCATTGACATATCCAAGAACATATGCACACACACGCAAACACTCTGCCTCAATTCAACCCATCTCTGTCATTTTTCATTACTGGGGTTTCTAGTTTTGGGGATTACTTTGCTGTTATGTAACATAAGCACTTTTAATAGCAAGGTGAATTTTTGAAAACAAACAAAACAAATACCAAATCTCTTAAAGGACTGCTTAATTCCCAAGCGGCTGATATAGAAATACACTAAGGGAAGATATTCCATGTCTGAATGTTATCTTGTATATGATGAGCATTCATACCCAAAAGATAAAAACTGGTGTTTCTGAACAAAAACAAACAAGCAAACTTACCTAGGTCAACATCTTCCACTCTTGGCCATTGGGAGTATGGAATGTTCTTGCAAAAGGCTTCGAGTATCTTCTCTTTAACTTGACTGAGAGTATCTGTATCCATTACTCGAACACTCAGAGAGTCCATTCCACAGCCTTGGAAAGACACATTAAGATTCTGTGGAAGAAGATGGTCGCTAAGGTTGTAGGTGATGTGCACAAGTTATAAGACATAAAAAACCTATGAACCATACACTCCAAGAATTCTTGGCAAATCTAGCTACCATATATTAAAAGAAAGAGGGGGGGGTAGAGATGAATTTTAAAGCTAGTGAAAAGCACTGATTTATAGCTCAGTAAATTAATACATTAACTATTTTATTCAAGGCAGTATGAGAACATTGTAAGCTCCCTTTGAACTGTCTGTCTATGAACTTAAGGTCTGAAATACAGGAACCATATCATGCACTTGCTGTTTTCTTCCATAAATTCATTTTTAGCACCAGTGAATATGGGTACAATGAATGGCAACTGATCACTTACTTTGTCTTAGAATGATGACGAACACTGTCTTTCTCCATGTGTGTGTGTGTGAGAGAGAGAGAGAGAAAGAGAGAGGAGGGAGGGAGGGAGGGAGAAAGAGAGATACATAGAGGTACTACATAATAAATGACCTTGGCTCTTCTCTGGGCTAAGTAGAAATTACATTTAGCAACCTGAACTCCTGTGTCTCTTTGTTGCTACTACTGCTGCATTGACATAGTTCTCATAAATATAAGCAGATAAAACCTAGACATGTGTCTTAACTTAACTACCTCAGACTGCAAATGAGGGCTGATATGATGAAATACTTCTCTACAAGACAAAAAACACCCCCACACATAAAAAAAAAACACATTAGGGAGAAAGCTTTGCTAAAATCCCCTTGCCTTGTATCTTAGCTTATTAAATATAGTTGGATTTTTTAAAAAAATACAGAAGAGCAATCAAATACATCTTTAAATGCAGTTGGACATGACACAGTTTAAGAAGGCTTTACAATGTATTTTGCTCTTTGGAATAATCAAGCCCATGCAGCATTTGTAGCAATAAGAAGATATTTACGAGAATTTGCATTTGTAAACCATAGTATTCTCTCTTACATTTTTGTGCTCCTTTTGAATTAACTAGCCATAATGTACTAGCTAGTTGACTCAAAAAGAGCAAAAGACATCAAGAGAGAAAGCTATGTTTTTTTTACCATTTGGGAATAGACATTAGCTGAAGATTATTCTTGATAACGGAACATGTCGAGATTCTATTCCTGAATATTTTATTCAGGATTTCATTCCATTAAAACAATATTCAGCTAGAAGCAGTGGTGAAATGCTCTGAAGTCTGCTACTGGTTTGCTGCATGCATGCATGTGTGTTGCATGCCAAATGCACCCTTTGCACACATGTGCACCACAGGCCTCACAATTTAGATTTGCTAGAAAGCAGGATTTCCTTCTTTCCTGCTTCCATGCAGGAAGCATGGTCTCTGGTTTCTAATCCAACACCTCAGCCATCACATCAAATTGGCTTTCTCTTTTAGACAGCAAAATACACCTAGTCCTTGACTTAGGACCACACTTGAGCCCAAAATTTCTGTCATTAAGTGAATTTGTTAAATTCATTAAATACGGTCACTCATGCTCTTGTTACTTCCCGCCTGGACTACTCTACATGGGGCTCCCCTTGAGGAGCACCCGGAGGCTCCAGCTGGTCCAGAATGCGGCCGCGCGGGTGGTTATGGGAGCGACGTGGCGCTCCCATGTGACCCCCCTCCTGCGCAAGCTGCATTGGCTCCCGGTGATCTTCTGGGTGCGCTTCAAGGTTTTGGTTGCCACCTTTAGAGCGCTCTATGGCATCGGTCCGGGGTATTTACGAGACCGCCTTCTGCTACCAATAGCCTCTCACCGACCAGTACGCTCCCATAGAGAGGGGCTTCTCAGGGTGGCGTCGGCCAAACAGTGTCAACTGGCGGCTCCCAGGGGGAGAGCCTTCTCTGTGGGGGCACCTACCATCTGGAATGAGCTCCCCCCAGAGATACGGAGGATCCCGGATCTGTGCACGTTTCGTCGTGCTCTCAAAACTTTTTTATTTCAGCAGGCTGGCCTGGCCTAACTCTCCTTTTTAAATTTTTAATTTGTTTGATTTGTTTTATAAATTGGGTGTTTTAATCTGTGTTTCAGCCAAAATATTTAATAATTTTAAGGGATTTTTAATGTTTGTATTATCTGTATTTTATCCTGGCTGTTCACCGCCCTGAGTCCTCCAGGTGTAGGGCGGTATAGAAATTTGATTAATAAATAATAAATAAATAAAATAAATTTTGCCCTATTTTACAACTTTTCTTGTGATAATTATTAAGTGAATCACTGTAGTTGTTAAGTTAGTAACATGGTTGTTAAATGAATCTGGCTTCCTGATTGAGCTTGCTTGTCAGAAGGTGTTTTGTAAAGGTGTTTACATGACCCTGGGATACTGCAACCTTCATAAATATTGATCAGTTGCCAAGCAACTGAATTTTAATTTAATTTAATCACATGACCATAGGAATGCTGCAACTCTCAGTCATAAGTGTGAAAAACAGTGAGAAGTCACTATTGTAACTTCGAATGGTCACTAAATGAATTGTTTTAAGGCAGAGACTACATGTATGATGTCTTTTGTACTGCATACATTCAGGCCTACATATCTGAAAGTCTTATAACCCAGAGCTGTTAAGAGATGGAAGTATAAAAGTTTAATGAATTATAATTATTGTTATGATAGCAGGCTGGGTTTGTACCACTGTTCTCTGACTTCAACTACTCAATATACTGTCATAGGTATTGCAAGCTGTAGACAGTTCTGCTTGTATCATGGGAATATTTTTTTAATATATATATTTTCAAAAAAGAATCAATTGTGGACTGTTTATGTGCTATTAATGATATATCTGAATAGAATTGTGCATTCATTTTTTTATTTCAGTCACTAATAAACAAAGACTCAATTACATTTCCCCAATTTATTCCTATGGAGTTATTCATGAAAGACAAAACTGCCCTTCAATTCTGCACTGTAAATTATCATTCAGTTAGGAACAAGGATATGGCAATAAGGCAAAAGGTTCAGTGCCCCAAAGCTGTTCTCATTTGCACCATTGTGGCTTCTGAGTGAGCCCACTGATTCTGGGACAACTCTTCAAGATTTACACAACTGCAGTTGAATGCAGAGTTTAATTTTCATTTTGCAGAGATTTGACTGCTGCATTTACTAACAGGCTGAATTTAACACATTCCTCCGCCTAACATGAAGCAGCTTATAATCAGCATAATTTTTCAGTAAAATTATAAAACAGCATAATTTTTCAGTACAATTTTTGCAATGTTTGTATTAAAAACACCATAACCTTGAATAAACAATTATTTTCATCAGCTATGAATTGATGATTCCATACATACTCCGTCTTTCAGGTCTTAGCAACACTGACATTTTAAGAATTGCATATCGCATATATGTTTGCACAATTGCTGTCATTTGATATATAGAATAGGTAGCAAAGTTTGGACAAGAAGTATCTAATCTATATAATTCCTAAGAAAACTGTACTTCAGGTACCTTCCAACTTGCCAACCTCAATGATTTTGAGTTTGGCTAGTTATCTCACTAGACATGATCAATTTTCAAGATCTATATTTTCTAATACACTATCATGGCTGCCATTCTGCTAGCCAATCATCACAAGCTGACAGCCTGACATTAGCAATGCGGGGGGGGGGGGGGGGGGGGGAAAAGGGGATGGGATGGAGGGGGGGATTGGGGGGGGGAGAATGGAAACCAAGTCATGCCCGCTGGAGGCGTGAGAAACACCAGCCAGCCCAAGGTCACTCATCAGAATGCAGAGCTGGAAAACCCGAGAACTGAGGGTCCATTACCAAACAATATACAACCACCCAATTGGACATTAATTGATAACAGGAGGATGGCTGTGGAAAAGAGAAAGCTCATTGTACCAATTTTGCACGTGAAAACGCCAGATCAAGCTTCACTATGGCAACCACTTAAGCTTTAGTAAAGTATACTCGTGGTAAAACAATGGGCCAGGACTCTTTCTTTGCTAGATGACTGAGTGGAACAACTGACATACACTTAAGATGGAAGACACTCCCCTCCCAAATACTTCTGTATACAGTATTGTCCCCTAATTGAAGAAAAATTGACATGTCATTGGTGCTGCTGTTAACTAAAAAAACAATGACTTATCTTTTTGAAAAAAACAAAACAAAACCCAGAGTTGTAAGTGAAAAAAAAACTAATTTAGTTTGGGAAGAAGTTTTCTAATCTCAGGGGACCTTGCTAACTGAATGAACACTCAGAAAAATCATGATTTGATCCCCGCTGTCCCTTTTGTCTCTGGTCACAGTTTCAGCCACTTTGTCTATCAAGGGAATAAGTAACCTTAGTGGTGGTTGCTTAGGAACAGGATGCATTTTTGAATTTCAGAACAGAGATACATACTCAGAAAGAGGTAACAGCCTCCCTGTGGCATCAAACATGCTTTCAAACCTTAAGGTGTCCTGGGTTACAAAAGCCTCATAGGCACCTGTGAAAGTAACAAAACAATTTTTTTTTTTTAAAAAAAAAGGAGATTCTTACCCTTGGCTTTGCTTCAATGTTCTCTCTCAATAACCATTCTTCATTAAGTGTATATCTTGCTTTTCCAGTGATGGCATCAATAGATCCTTTATTGATCTGTTGTTTAATAGCACACAACAGCAGGAAAAAGGGCTCCCCAACGGTTTCCTATTAGATGAAATAACAAGCTATGATTTTCTGAGGATAAACTAACAATGGACTTTTTTTTTAATAACATTGTCCATATATACAAAGGGTAATTCACACCTCTAGTTGTAATACTAGTGTATTACAAAGTAGCCCAAAAGAGCTACTTATCACCCTACAAAAGCAAAAAAAATTATTCACTTATGGGAAAGTTTAAGAACCAACATGAAAGCATTCAGGTTGAAAAGTTATAATTATAGTTATAAAAGTTATAATTATAATTATATCGGTCAGGCAATGTCGGCTGGCGGCCCCCAGGGGAAGAGCCTTCTCTGTGGGGGCACCCGCCCTGTGGAATGAGCTGCCTCCTGGAATACGATTGATCCCGGACCTCTGTACCTTCCGTACCTTCCGTAAAGCCCTGAAGACGTTTTTATTCCACCAAGCCGGCCTAGCCTAAATGGTTTTTAATTGGGATTTTAAATTTTATGGATTTGGGGGTTTTAAATTGGGAAGCTAATGATTTAATTCTTTTTTAATTATCTTAACTTTTGTATTTGTATGTTTTTTAATTTTGGCTGTTCACCGCCCTGAGTCCCTTCTGGGAGAAGGGCGGTATACAAATTAAATTAATAAATAAATAAAATAAATTATGGGAACAACTATACAATTTAGCATTGTTCAATATCCTGTACAACTACAATATTTATATGGGCCCCTACTGAGAAGATAGATGTGGGTAAGGTGATCCAATGGTTTGAGGTGAGCTTTCATCAATATGCTGATGATCCCCAGCTTTGTATCTCCTACCTGAGTGATGCCATGGAGAATCTTGTCTCAATGCCTAGAGGCTGAGGAGCCTGAATGGGACACTATGGGTTTAGACTCAACCCAAGCAAGACTGTGGCTTTGGATGCTTCCTGGATAGGGTGACACTGCCTCAAATGAATCTGGTGTGCAATTTGGAGGTCTTCTTGGACTCACAGCTCCTGCTGGAGCATGAGGGCATTTGCACCCCTTGGATGCACCAGTGGCACCCATATCTGTATCAGGAAGCTTTGTTCATTGTCTCTCATGCCCTTGTAACCTCCCATTTGGACTAGTGCAACATAATCTACATAGGGCTGCCTTTGAGAAGCATATAGAAGCTTCAGCAAGGACAGAATGTAGCCGCACAGGTTCTAAATGGTGTCGGCTACATGACACATTAACACCATTGCTTTGGAGCCATCATTGTTTGCCAATGTGTTTCCAGATGCTTGTCAACTTTAAAGCCTTTCATGTCTTGGGACTGGGTTATCTGAGGAATCATCTTCTCCCATTTGTTTTACCCATCCAATCTGGCCCACCAGGATTGATATGTTCTGGATTCCATCAGCCAAGAATTGTCTGATGGTGGAGACCAGGAGATGTGCCTTCTAATGCCTCTCTATTGAACATTCTCCCTCCAGAGATTAGAATGAACCTTACTCTGTTGGCCTTTTGAAAGGCCTTGAAGACATGGCTATGTACCAGGATCCAGGGCCCTGAGTATGTGAAGGGCCCTATTTTCTGGTTATGTTGACACCAATGGAGTATAATATCTCTTGGCTGATATTGGTATTTCATTTCTTTTATGTATTGTGTTTTAATTGTTTTAACTGTTTTTATGATTGTTTGCTGCTCAGAGTCACTGCTTTGAGAGGGGTGGCTATATTAACCAACCAACCAACCAACCAACCAACCAACCAACCAACCAACCAACCAATTAACTAACTAACTTTTAAAAATGAAATTTCCACAAACTTTTAATTCAGTGCTTACTTTATAGGGCAACATTCAAATTGCATAGCAGTAACTTTATTAACATTTTCTGTATTAGGTTTTTAAAGAATCCAAAGGGATTTTTTCTGATTAAATTCATGTCAGCATCAGAAAGCCCTCTTAATGTCATTAGTTAACAGTAATATTTGTTTCATTCATTAAAGGGTGTATTTAATTTTGTGATATAACTTCATCTCTCCCTTCTGAATATCTAACTGCTCTAGTACAGCTATTATAAAAATGTTTTAGAACTCCACATGATCAACATCTGTTCATTCAAATTCCTCCACTTGATGGCTACTAATATTACACATCACTACTGGAACAAGGTTATTACTAGCTTTCACTCTGTTGGTCTCGGACAATATAAACACGGCTGCTCATGAGTGTATTCCATCTGTTTTGTAGTGCCAAGATTTAATTTTTCATCAGCATTTCTTCTGATAAAATGAGAATAAAGTGGTATTACGTACATGTCAGATTATGACATTCAATCATTCTCATTTTATGGGGAGATTTTTTTTTCAATCTTTGCCTCCCTTTATCCACTATTCTGTTCCTTTCAGAAGGAAAAGATGGAATAGTTGGATAATCTATTCTGAGGGGTAGCAATAAGAACTCTCCAAGCAGTCCAGGAACATCCTCCAAGGTTAGTGTATTTAATACTATTCCTTTAGCTTCGCTTACAAAGTTGAAGAGAATAAAGTTTCAAGAATGCCTGCTGAGAAAGCTGATTTTGCTATGAAGCTACAGTGGCCTAGTGAGTAGTTATACACTAAATTTAGACCCAGCCTCTGAAAAATCAAGGTCAGTTATGCATTCTGGATCTACAATAGATTCAGATTTAAATTCTTTCTCCAATACATCAACACCCTGTCCTCCAACAAACAAGGCTAAACCTCCGCACAAAATCTATTAAAGTCTCAGAGACAAAATACGTGTCAATCATACAGCTGCTTCCAAAGCTAGTGAATGTGCTTTATGAGAAGGCCACACTGACAGAACTGGTATTTATTGCCATGGCATCACGTATACTGCATCTGATTAAACAGAGTGCATGAGTTTTTTCTACTTTGTTTTGAAAGATATTTTTGCAAAAAAAAAAAAAAAAAAAAAAAAGCCAGCTACTGCTGCAGTATTTTGCAACAGGTTTAATGGCATGGGTTACTATTGAAGAAAGAACTACAAAATGTAGTCATTACGTGATTTATTTATTTTTTGTTATTTGGGCTAAGAAACACATTTAAAAATGGAAAAGGAAATGCACAGAAAACAATTGCTGATGAAATAGCAATGCTTCGAATGTTTTACAAAATTATTGTGGGAAATAGGTTTGGAAATGACTTGGCTTTTTATTGTGTGAGAAAATGATTAAGAGGTTTCCTTAAAAGGAAAAAAAACCCCATTGTATTTGTTTTTGTTTTTTTTAATTAGACATTTTGACTGGTGACTGTAATATGGTTCCTTCAAAGTAATCCTGAACATAAAAATAATTTGCATGAATAAAAATAGCAAATTGGCATCTTTCTTTCAAATGTTCCTTATATGATGTTTTCAAGCTGCTTCTCTATATGCCTCGACCTAAATGGCCAATTGAAAAACATAAAATAGAATATCAGGCAAATTTATATGTTATTCTTATACCAAGACAACTTTATGCTATGCTATAAAGTAGCTGGTTCAAGCACAGCATGTTGTACAAACACAATGTATTGTGTTAATTCTAGAAAGCAAGGTTTTCATGATTTAGTATATGTATATCATCATCATAATGTTAGAAAAGTTTGTATGCCATCTAAACTCAAGGTTATGGAACCATGTTAAAATGAGCTATAAAATGCCTAGGATGCAAACAAACAAAATCTATTATGTTTTATTGTAAAAACTTCAAGCAGTTGCAAAGCAAGGCAGCCTATATGCAAGGCAGGGATGGGTTGTATTTACCTTTACTACCGGTTCGCAACGGGATCGCGTGCGCGCTCTTGCTTCTCTCGTGCACACGCCTTGCTTCTGCGCATGTGCGCATGCACAGATTGCTTCTCATGACATCAGGGTCAGTGGGCGGAGCCTCCCGCCAGTTTTACTACCAGTTCTATAGAACCAGTCCAAACCGGGGGCAACCCACCACTGATGCAAGGACTACCTGTACACTGACTATGGTAAATCTAGGCCTTTTGGAGAACCATCACAATTTCTTTCATACTTAAATACAGAATAAGTTCCCTACAACTTCATCTTTTTATAAATGTTACAGCAAATGAAAAGTAGGTTCTGTTCAGAACCAACTTTGTTAAATGTAACAGTATATCATAATTTAAAGATTCTTGTTGGTATTTGCTTTTTTGTTTCTGTTATGTTTCTTGTTTTCAATGCTAAAGGAATTTTGAGGTGTTGAAATACAGCTATAAGACATTGATTTATACCTAACCATAATTAGCACAGATCATGTTTATATATACATTTAAATTCAAGTTACATAATCTATTGCAAATTGCTATTTAACAACTATAACCTTCCTTAGCCACAATTTAATATGATGTCAGAACTGAAGCATTGCATTACTATTGCATGCTTTCAGATAATTTGCCAGATAATTTGTTTTAAAACAATTTTTGAGCCTATATTCCTATCTATCTATCTATCTATCTATCTATCTATCTATCTATCTATCTATCTTCATTCTTTACAGTCTTCAGTCAAAATCTGAATCAAACAAGAACAGGAAAAGGAAGAAAAAGATTCTGAAATGGTATTATAAATTTACCCTTAAATGTCCAAACTAGATGTGACTATTTATATTACGAGGTATTATTAGGTAAGAATCGTGGTGGTACAGTGGTTAAAAGGCAGTATTGCAGGCTAACTCTGCCCACAGTCTGGAGTTCAATCCAGACTGGCTCAAGGTTGACTCAACCTTCCATTCTTCCAAGGTTGGTAAAATGAGGACCCAGATTATTGGGGGCAATATCCTGTCTTTGTAAACCACTTAGAGGGGGCTTTAAAGCATTGTGAAGTGGTATATACTGTAAGTCTAAGTGCTATTGCTGCTGTTACAGTAAATTACTGTCTCAACTTCTTTACTTGGCATAACAATCCACATTCCCACTGATAATGAGCTTCCTAGAATATGAGAAACATCAAGGTGGGAATTCGATGTAAGAGATTGATCTAGCTATGTATTCACACTGTTCACACATATACACATTCATACTGTTAGT